GACATGTTACTTAAAGTAAACGCAAAATTCAATTATGTTTAATAAATAGTGCCATAAGAGAATTAAATTGGTAACTTTAAAACACTTCATTCAATTTAAATGATCCCAATTTGAATTAAGTGATTCCAAGACCCTTTATTTGTGTAATAATTGACCGGACTTTAGCCCATCAACCATTACATTTTTAAGGTGAGTAAACTCTTTACTGATTACAACTCTTGTAACTCTTGGTTGAATAATTAAGAATCACATGTTTAATTATTTCCCTTTGCTTTAAGGTTCTAAACTCTTTTAGGTAAGCTTGTTGAGCATAACCAATTAAAATTGTAAAACTTGATTTACCGCAAGTCTCCCAAGATATAAAATGACACCCATCTTTGGCATGACCTATCATAAATATCAAAGGTTTGTCAGGTTTTTAATTAGAAATGCAATCTCAATATTACTGGGACCTAGATTCATTATGTTGTATTATTTAGTGAACTCTAGCGCATCATCACAAAACATCAATAAAATCTAACATGCATAATATACTGAATGCATAAATAAACAAGACATATCATGACCCCTAATCCTAAGAAAACTAATAAAGTAAATGCTCCCACTTGAATCATCTTGGATCTCGTCCACCTTGCTCCTTTAGGCCTTCACTTCATGAGCTTCTTGGATTAACTGCAACCTGTAATTCTACTCTATTCTATATAATAATTAAATTAAATAAAATAAAATTACATAATACTTTATCGGTTCGTAGACCACACTTGGATTACAAAAATATATCACGATACGCAGATCGTATTTGGCAATCTACTGGGCCATACTAGTCATTATGTAGCAATATAATATCATATATTATAAGATTACCACATAATAAATAACTCATCATGCTTTCCTAAACTACAATATCGAATGTTCATTATTTTGGGTGTTTTTGTCCTTCGAGAGAGTTACGTCACAAAGATTGGTCCGGTTGAGCTGTACCTGCAAAACAACGGAAACTCCGGATGGTTGGAGCTCCGCCTCCGAAGATCAAGTTAGTAATTTGAAAGGGAATAAAGAGTACATTTAGGTGGGGATCTGCTTGGATTCCAAGCTCAGGTGTTTCTTTGATGAGAGAGAATGTAGGTGTAATAAATGATTAAACGTGTCCCTAAAATGGGGAATTATCTCCCTATTTATAGGGTCGTTGGAGAATGTTCCCCTATCTAGGTCACTTGACCTAGATTTTAGTGGGTTGCGCCGTTTTACGGCGCTCCTAGGGATTTGGGCCCTTGAAGGCCGCCATTTCAGGGGCTTATCCAAGGGTGCCACGTGTCAAGAGGATATTGGGCCACTTGGGCCATCCTGAACTCACCACGTGGCCTCTTCTCATTGGTCCACGTGTCTAGGGTATTTTTATCCTAAACATTTGCCCCTCACAGGGGTCACGTGCATATCATGTGGGGCCCGTGACACGTGTCCACCTATCAGAGATGAACAGTAACGGGTAGTAAAATTTGAATTTCAAACAGGAATTTCCCCTGTTTTCACCTTCTATAAATAGAAGTTTACCTCCACCCTTTTTCTCTCACCTTATTTTCATTTGACTTTTTAGAGAGAGAAAGATAGAGCTTTTAGAGAGAGATCCTCTGCCTTCGTCTGCGTTAGATTTTTCAGGATTTCCGTGTGATAACGTTGTAACACCCGGTTCACCGACTGTAGCTGTTTTCAGATTAATCAGAGCTAAAGTAAGGTAACCGCTTGTACCATTTTTAGCTTTTCTCTTTTTCGACTTGTATACATTCTTTCTCCGCCTGTATACATAGTTTTAGAAATAAAAATGAGTTCTCAATCCACACACTCGACACTGCCTAGGACACTCAGCCGGTCCCCTAGAACGGCTGAGTCTAGAATAGGGTGTCTTTTCTGGACTGTCAGAACCGATGTGCTCATCTCGGAATCCCTCCCTCTCTGTGTCTGTGCAGGACACAATGGCCAGAATGAAACAGACGGCCAGAAGGTCTAGGAGCTAGTGCACTATATCATGCCAGCCGACGAGGTTGTTCCAGACGGGGAACAGAGAGATTTGGAGGAGAGCGGTTCTGATGAAGAGGCTCCCTCTACTTCCGGGAGCCCGGGTGTACGAGAGGAAGGCAGTGAGGAAGCCGCCTCCTCTAATGGAACCGGCGATGATGAGGCCGGTGAAGGGTCAAAGGCCGAATCTTTTGGCTCTGACCCGGATAACTTTGCGGCTGACTATCAGCAGCCGCCTAAAGTCGCTGACCACCCTAACCCCAAAAGGACTAGAATGTTGCCGGGAGAAATTGCCCTACTAAAGAGCGGCTTTAGGGCTTTTAAAGAGAAGCACCCCTTTGGAATGGCATGGGACGATGAAATTGATAACGCAGACCATTATTTTGTCTGCTACGAGGCGGTCATAGAAGTCGGCCTCCGGTTTCCCCTCCATACCGGGTTTAGGAAAATCCTGAAGGGGTATGATTTAGGAGTTTGGCAGCTCACCCCCAACTCGTGGGTGAATATTTTGAGTTACATCGCCGCCTGCGAGCTCCAGAACATAAATCCCAGTTTCTCCGCCTTCGCTCATATGCATTATTTGAGCAAGTCTCCAGGCGGTTATGGGGCAAGGTACACTCTTTCTACCTTGCCCCAATATTTGATGAGTTTGGACAAGGTGTCCAAATGGTCCGGGTGGAAAGACAAGTTCTATTTGATTTCTTCTCAAACTCTGAGACACAACCGGACACTACGCTGGTACAACACAGAACCGGCTCTTCTGGGAAGGAAATGCCCTCTCCCGGAGATATCTACAAAGGCCCGGGATCAAATAATAGAGTCGGGCTTCTTTGAGACCACAACTGAGCCCATGGGGGATGGGACTCATATTATAGTTCCCAAAAACTGTATCCCCCATCCGGACTATTTCAACGACGAATGCTTCTTATCCGCCTGTGGGTTAAGTCACATGTTTCCCAAGGGTAGATCCCCTTACATCCTGAGTGTTTGTTATGTTATTCTTTTATTACAAACTTTCCATAATTTCTCCTAACTTGAATCTCATTCATGCAGCTGACGCCTTGAAGATGGTCGATCTGGCAAAAACTCCGGCTAAGTCGGCGGCGCTGCTGCGCAAAGAGGCTGCTCTTGCCAAGAAAGCAGCCGTTGACGCTAAAGAGTCTAAGAAAGGCGGGGTAAGACCGCCTGACTTTGTATTAATATATATTATTTATTTATTTATTATTTTTTTTACTAAGGCAGTTTGCCGGTTGGGTATACTTAACCACTTTCATTTTGCAGGACTCTGTAAAGTGTGTGCCACGATCCTTCTCCAAGCTTTTCAAAAGGCAAGGAGAGGATCTAGAAAAAAATCCGGCTGCAAAGGTAGCCAAAAAGGACCCTCCCCAGTCAAACACTTCTGCCAAATCCGATCGTCCCACGACCGGTGGCAAATCCCCTGGTGCTATGAAGATTATGAGCGAAGGCTCAGAGCGCTCGCAGCAGAAAGCGTCGGATGCCTCTACGGCATCGAAGGGTGGCATGCCACCTAATGTTGCGGCCGATGCGGAAACAACTGGGGAGGAGCAGACGCCTACGCCCCATCCGGATACCCAAGGTAAGGGAGAGATTGAAATACCTTGGTCACTTGACTTCATGAGAGTCAAAACTAAGGTAGACCCTTCCGGGGGTTCAGTCAGCAGCCGGCAGCGGATGAATGCCAACTATGCTGCCTCTTACTCACAGAGTACTACTTTTGGTGCAGATCTAACATCCGACGAGCCGGATCTTGCTGGTTTCGCAAAACGGATGGTGAGGACCCTCACCCGGTCAGAGAAAATCAACTCCATACCTGATCTGCAAGTAGTGGACTTCGACAAGATAATGGGCCAACTGGCTGAGGTAAAGAATCCCACAACCCTGATATCTTTTCTTTATTTTAACTAAGTATATCATAATCCGACTGCTCTTTTCTCAGGTAATGCTGAGAGTGGACGGACTCCAAGGCCCCTTCAGGCGGAAACAGGAAGAGGTAAATGACGCCAAACGGAGGGCCCTTGAAAACCTCAACTCTGCTGAATATGCTAATTATATGTGTAATTTAAAGATTAAAGAAGTAGAGTTGAAACAGGAGGAGCTGATCCAGAGCTTGACGGCTGCGAACGATGAAGCCACAGGGCTAATGACCTTGAGCAAAAGCTAAAGGATGCCAAATATGATCTCAAGGCATTAGAAGATGCTGATAAGGAAAACGCTCAACTCCGGGCAGACGTTTCCCGCCTGAGGGTTGAGATCGTCAATCTGCGGAACAAGCAGACGGATGAGATCGCCCAAGAGCAAAAATGGCTGATGGAGGAAAATGAGCGGGATAATGCAGCCCGCCTGAAAATCACTTGGAGCCTCCTCTACCCAGATATAGACTTTGAAGTCTATAAGCTCAGGTATGATTACGCCACTGAGGTGTATGATGCCAAGTGTTGGGTGAGGCTCCTCCGCCTCGCTTTCGAGATTAGGCTGCCGAGCAGGGATATGAAGTCTCTGATACTGACGAGCCGACGGCGAATGAATAAAATGAAGGCCCAACTGGCCAAGATCAGCCGGAGCAGCAGCATCCACCTCAGCCCTAGGCGAGTCTCCCCAAATTCTGCGGTAGTATGCCAATTACTTTCTTTGCCGGCTTGTATGCCGTGTAGTGTTGTATCTTTACCAACTATGGAGTTGGGTTGCACTACACCAAAAACTAGATTAGAGATCGCAAAATATAGAACGGTTATCAAAGGTAGGCGTTCTCCAGAAGAATATAAATCGTTTTAATATAAGAGGCGTTCTGTATGTTAATACATATAGAACGGTTAGCTAGTTAATCGTTATGTATTTCAATTTACTCAAACAATTAAAAAAAAAATATTTATTATAGATAATATAGAACGGTCATCTTGACAACCGTTTTATATTATTTAATTAACTAATTTTTTTAAATTAAGAGGAAATTATATACATACCTACGGAGTAATAATTTACCCAAACGAAGGCGGCTAAAAGAGTAAAAGGTAAAATTGAAGCCCGCGCATCAATTTCACTTCATCAAAAAGTGAAACCTATCTTTCTCATTCAATTCATCATCAGGAATAAAAAAGTTAAACCTCCATCAAACATCCATAGAAAAATCTTCATCAACCGCTTACTCCACCGCCGCTCCACGTCTATCTGCAGTACCGGCGTACCTCACTTGTCTGCTGAGCCACCTGCTGTAAATTGAGGTAGGCTCGAATTTTTTTTTTTTTTTGTTTTTTTTTTGTTCGAATTTTTGTTGTGGTAGAGTAATTGGATTATGATAATTGTCAATCTGATTGCCTGAATCATACAAATTATGAAGGAAACAGAAGTAAATTCGTAGAATTCGAATTTTAGGTGATTGAAAAAAACTTCAAAGTTCTAGTTTTTGGGATTAATTCATCGATTGTTTGCATGTAAATTTTTAAGCCGAATTATTGCATTAAGTTCAATCAAATTACCCTTATATTTGTCAAATTTACTGTTATTTCAATTGTAATCAAAATTATTTTAGCCAAATTAATCTTACCTAATTTCAATTTAGAACCCTAATCAGATTTTTTTTTAAAAGGAACAAAAAGATAGGACTTAAAACAGTGAGATAAACATACAATTTTTGGTTTTGGTTTAGTGAGGTAATATATGCTGTTGGTAAAATTGATGAGGATATGGCTGAGCCAAATTTGTGAATGAGGTTTGTTTAAAAACAAAATGTTTTGGTTTTTAAGGTCAGACAAAATTAGATATAGAGTTTGATGCCCAATGGAACAGAAAATGGTAAGTAGAAAGCAAAACAAAGAAGGGGGGCTAAATATTCTACTAGTAAGAAAATGGTAAAGGGTGTGCAGTGTTTTTGTGGAAATTGTGTCTCTGATTGTGAAGAGAGAAGAGAGAAGAGATGGGAGTCATAATTGTGGTACTGAATTATTTATAATACTAGTAGTAATAATAATAATAATAATAATAATAATAATAATAATAATATCTCAAATTTGTGACTTTTTATGGGGATGTTGCATGTATATTAAATAATGGTAAAGGTGGGGCCTTCTTTCACTATTGAACAATGTTGGGCATAATTGACTTGATAAGTTCGCATAACAAAGCTTATTTCTAATTAAAGAAACTAATGAACAAACGGGTTATGAGGTGGTCCAATAATTACATTATATGAAAACACATTATAATATTGTATCATTCATTTGCACTAATAAAATAGATTCTTATACTTTAGTAATTAAAGAGCTTAAATAAATTGTTATTTACATGTAAAGCTAAGTTTATTAGCTTGTTTTTATTTACATTGTTGTAGGCATTAACTATGGTAGTGTATGTTAAAATTATATCCATAAGTATATAGCAAGTGCAGTTATGTTTGTGTTTTGAGTGTGTTTATTTTTATTTTTAACTTCCTAGTTTGTAGATATGGACCGAACTTGGATAACCACAAAAAAATTAGGGGATCCAGAATATGAAGCCGGAGTTATGGAATTTATTAAATTCGCTTTGGAAAATAATAGTAAAGGGCGTGATAAATTGCCATGTCCTTGTTACATCTGCCATAATCTTATGTATCACAAAGCTGATGTGATACTTAATCATTTGAGTAAAAGGCAATTTGATAGAACATATACTTGTTGGCATCGTCATGGTGAAAAAGGGGAAGAAATGACAAGCAAGGATGCTCAAGGCCATAATACCGATGAGGGTAACGAATTAGAGGACATGACGAGTCAATTCGTACACAGAGTAGATGATGATCCCAATGCGATGGAAGAATTGTTGAGTGATTCTGAGAAGCCTTTATATGAAGGGTGCAAGTACACAAAGTTATCAGCTTCACTTAAGTTATACAATTTGAAGGTGGGTCATAGTTGGATGGATAAGAGTTTTACAGCATTAGTTCTTGAGTTCTTGATAGATGTCCTTTCCTTCCATCTGATAATGTTTTGCCAAAGAATACATACAGGGCAAAAAAAACATTATGCACAATGGGTTTGCGTTATGAAAAAATTCATGCATGTCCTAAGGATTGCATACTTTATCGAAATGAAAATGAATCAGCAAAGAGTTGCCCAAAGTGTAATCTCTCAAGGTACAAGAAAAAGGAAGGAGTGCCCGCTAAGGTTTTGTGGTATTTTCCAATTATTCCTAGGTTTAAACGGATGTATTCAGACCCGGTAGATGCAGAGAAGTTGACATGTGACAGGGTAAAATCGTATCCCCTAATAAAAAATAATTACCTAAATCACTAAGGTAGATAGGGAAGTAGGGTCGATCTCCACAGGGAAACAAGTCCTTTTTACTTCTAATTAATTATTATAATCTAAATTATTTAAGTGACCAATATTTATAATTAAGTATGAAACTAAACTACAAAGAATAAGAGTAGGGAGAGAACGATATATAAAGGGACCTAGGGCGTAGGTTCACCAATAAATAATACTCCAGGGTAAAACATAGCAATCAATCATTGACATTGCATAAATAACATGATTAACAGGCTCTCGCAATTTATTAATCAACATAGATCTAATAGGCTCTCGCAATTTACTAGATCTAAGTCCTTATTGAAAATAGCCTTTAATATCAAATTAACATCTTCTCGATTCATCAATTTAATATTGCTATAATTTTACAAGCCGCAATTGTAAAACATTAAAACAATCCAATAAGAAATTATCATGTAATACCAATAATCAATAATAGTCAATCATCAATGCATCAATTAACCTGATTGTAAAGGGCTCTCGCTACTTATTACAATCACACAATTAATTACCGGTATTAAATCTCATCTCTAGAATCTTGACTTAACCATTTATAAATTAACTTGCCTATTGAAACTAGACCTAAACATTAATTCTCATCTCTCGATTCTTGAATCAATATTGTCAAACTCATGCATAAAAGATAGGCCTAATCTAGTCACAGAGCATTAATCCAATCAATAGGAAATTAATCTAGCATTGATAATCAACAACAATAAATTACCCCTTCATATTATTTATTATATCCCCATAAACCCTAGAAATTAAACTACTCACACATATTAAAAATTAAACTAATCAAAGTAATAAAATAAATCATGATGAAAGGAATAAAATAAATAACTAAGATTAAGGAAAGAGAAATCGTTATCAAAATAAATCTGGAATTAATGAAAGAATTAAGAACAAAAGTTTAGAGAGAGATTAAGAGAGAGAGAACTAAGTAGAGAGAGAAAGTCTAAGAAAGAAGAGATACTAAAATCGTATTTCGTAGGAGTATTTATACTCCGTACAAAAATACTAAACTAAAATAAATTAAAACGACGCTAATCGTCTCCTAAAAATACACGCGCCCGATCGGGCGCGCCTTTTTGACTCTAACACTAATCTCGCGCCCGGCCGGGCGCGTCACCGGGCGCCAGACCAAGCTTCTCCCGCCGGGCGCGCCTCCGGGCGCCAGCCTTTTTGGCCGGGCGGCTAATTTGGGCTAATATTTGGACTTCGATTGGGCTCCAATTCTTCGGGCCAATCTGGATTTCCTCTTTGGGTCTTGAATACTCGATCCAAATGCCACGGTATCACCTATACCGAGCCCTTAATCACCGGTTCGATGGCTCTAACCGGCACTGGGCTATAAAATCTGGTCGTGTTTCTCTAATGCTCGTGATTGCTACAAAATATCTCGGGAAAATACTCCAAAAGCATAAATCCCTGCAAAAGTCAACCAAATCTACGAAAACACTGGAAAACACCAATTAGTAATAAAAGTGGCTCTAAAGATCTAAAAACACTACTAATTATGACCGAGGGACGGGGGTAAAATACTATATAAAATAGACACATCAAACTCCCCCAAGCCAAACCTTTGCTTGTCCCTAAGCAAAGATCTCATCAATGAATCAATAAATATGCTTCACCCCAAAAGTACAAATCAAGCACAAACGATCCAGGGCAAATCAAATAAACATGCTTCAAAGTCAACCAATCAAATCCATCCAATTACCTTTCTTTCCTAACAATTGTCAAATATAGCAAACCTTAAGAGCATATAGAATTCAAGACTAGTGCTCACACACTCGACTCTCATTTTTGTGGCGAGTAAAAGATATACTCGATCGCTCTCCATCCAACCCCTTTAATGTGAACAATGCCCTCTCAACCCACACTCTTGTGTGTATAAAACAATGAACGCTCAATCCTACTAGTCGACTCGAAATATGTCAAATCATAACTTGCATTGATAAACAACACTTTCACATTCATACAATTCTATGCACAAAGGTCAGAAGGTCTTTAAAGCTTGTAATGTAAGGCTAGGGTAAAGGTAGGATAAATTTAGGATTAAGTGAGAGAAAAGCTATGCTTAAAGGAGCCATATCCTAATAACACCCATGATCAAAAATAAATAATGATCATACATCTCCTACATAACCAACTCTAACATCAACCAAATATACTCCAAACAATATAAACAATCCCAACACTTACAATTTCACTCATAAGATATAACAATGAAGAAGTAGAGTGAATAAACAAATTTTATTTTTCAACTTGAATTTTTCATTGAGGCTCAAAATTATTTTTCTTCTGATCACCCTCCAACTAGAACATTTGAACATTTTTTTTCTTTCGAAGTTCACTTATTTTTTCACATTTTTTTTTCTTTGAACTTCTCTTTTTTTTTTTCATAGTATCATGCTTTATTTTTTTCAAGAAAATATAGCTCTCAAACTCATCAAAAATAAACATGAATAACAACGAAACAACTTCTCAGATAGCACACTACAAACTCCCTCACCTCACTCACTAATAGCTCCCCCAAGCCAAGCTTGGGACTAGTAACCAATGGGGCAAAATAGGCTTGTAATGTGGCTAATAAACAATAAAAAGTCAAGGCAACAACATGGGTAGCAAGAAGGGAACAAATGTATCTACAATATCTGGAGGCTACCTAAAAGAACAAATGCCTTCGTCCTCCACAATGTGCATAATAATGAATCATATAAACATTACTAATAGTTGCAAACCAATACTCAAATTCATCGACATACCAGAAACTATGGAACTATCACACATTCCTTACCAAATCAACTAGTCAAGCACTATATTCACATGTAGTTGGGCAAAATTGACGCATGTTAAGGTTTCAAGGCAATCAAACATCAAATCATGATCAACTAATCCACAATGCTTATCATCAAATACCAGGAATCAAA